TTTTTTTTTGCCTTTTTTCTAAAATCTTCATTTATTTCGTTGCAGGGATCTTACAGTAGCTCATTTTAGTAACAACGTGTAAAACAATTTTCTTGGTGTTTTTCCCTGGTCGTGACATGCGAGACATGCGACATTTCCGGTGTGCATTTACATTGTCACAAATTGTCACACAATAGTATTCTGAGGGTGGTTGTAGGTGGTTTTAGGTGGTTTTAGATGGTTGTAGGTGGTGGTTGTGGGTGGGTGTAGGTGGTTTTAGACGGCTGTAGGTGGTTGTAGGTGGTTTTAGGTCATTCCTTCTTTTAGTAATTACGAACCGCTGGTTAAAACGTTTAAGAAAGAATCCTTCACCCTTTTAACAGAACTAACTCGTGGAATTTACTGCTGCACGTCTTGAATTTTATTGAACCTAAGGTCGCAAAAATGCGTTCTGAGGTTTATAGTTTTGAGGCAGAACACTTGGAGTATTTATTCCGGTAGCAATTACGAAATCGTCATCAACAAAGATCGTTATAATACAGAGGCAATATCAGAATGATGTAGCAACTAATAGAAATATCTCTTAAGAACCCAATAGCGCGCAGGGAACTTGTGGTTAACACGTTGCCGTACTCGAAACAGATTTCAGGAAGTGGTTCATCATGACTCCATATCGGTGGTTTCCTCGCCTTTCCGGATAGCAACGTCTTAGACTTGCGTATTTAAAACTGACCTTATCCTAGCTCTAAACTGCTTTAAAGACGAATAACGCTGAAGCGAAAAAAATTAATAATGACATCCTGATCAATTTTCTGAATTTGTTGTGAGAACAGCAACGTGAACACCGGAAGTCGAACTAAACTAAATGCAAACTATCATGCACGCTGTCTAGTTATTAAATGATGTTCTCAATATCTTGCTTAAGACTCTCATATTGCCAGTGTAATGTAATGATCTTTGTTTACAGGGTTTTTGTTCTTTTTATTAGGATGTTTAAATATAAGAGAACCAGGACGGCCACAGGAACAGGATCGTCGCTAGACTAAAGATTTAAGGAGCAGAACAAATGTCTTTGTACGTGCGTTGTGAATATTTGTAAATTTCTTTGCGTCCTTGGCAGGGACCTTAGGCAAACCACGACGGCAACGGCAACGAAGACGTGGTGAAACAAAAGATCAAATCGGCAGAATAGTAGCTCAGCGCGTGCATCTTAAAACTTAGTTCATTTTTTAGTCGTCTTCTGCCAAACAACAAGGTGAATTTACCAAAACTTACAGAAGTTTTACGAATGTTAACATCAATTTTTAGGTTTCTAATAACCTCAACTGTGCTTGTACTAGCCCGGCACAAGTACAATATACCAAAAAAAAAAAAACAAAAAAAACAAAAAAAACAAAAAAACAAAAGAAAAAAACACAAGTGATGATTGAGTTTTTGTAGATAACTTCGAGATCTCCAGCCGAGCGGCATGATTTGTCCAATTCAGAAGTGCTGGTAATTAGCGTAATGGTTTAGTTGTGATATATCAGACATTCGACGTTGCAAATTTCTCCATTTCATAAGATTTAGGTTTATTTGTCTTGAAACCAGTTGTTGAGAGCAAGGATAAGGTTATAGTTTGAGTTGTAATTTAAAGAAACAGCTGAGTAAGAAGCGTGGGAGGACAAGGAACTTTTCTGTCTGCCACACCTTCAAATGATCGTATAACCTTGGGATACGTGCTTGGAAAACTAATTGATTTCTGCTCGTTACTTCAAAGAATACAAGTTACGAATGAAAGATATTGACTCGTTGGAAAAAATTATATACCTGTATTCTACCCCAACACAGCCGATATTTTGTGGAATAGACGTCGCAAAATCGTAATTACCTTTCTATGGCGACGCACATTTTGCAGTGTTCGAGGATGTAATTTTTTTTTTAATACGTAAAAACCTGAGTTGAAATTTAGTGTCAAATCTTTTGTAACTTTTTCATTGCAACTTGTATTGTCAGTTGTAAATCAAGATTTACGATGTTTACAATGGACAACAAATCTTTCTTATTTTGATTAACCGTTTGGACAAATTCAAATAGTTTAAATTCTCTGTTTCGAATTTTTGCATTGAATTACGGTATTTGTTGATGTCTTACTTGCCGACATGAACAAGAGCAGTACAGAAAGCTCTGAATGAATTTTTTCCATGTGCATGTCCCGTTCATCCATGTTTTCTCTTCAATGTAGACAGCCGAAAAACAGCGAGAAGAAAGTCGAGCGGCAAAATACCTCAACATACCCAGTTTGTCTCAGTACTAGTTGCCAGTGAAAAGGAATACCAAATTGACATACACTGTGGGAATAATATCGGAGAGAGAGCGAACATATATAATTTTTTTTTTTTCGTTTAGCGTTTTCGTTTTAATAACGAACTTGTAATGATTTTAATGATATTTTCAAATGTTTTGGTTTTAAAACTTTGTTGGAGCAAATGACGTCGAGGAGTTAAACAAAAACAGCTCTGCCTGACACAGCTGCCTGAGACAGCTCTGCCTGACACGGCCTTATCAATTTGATCAAAATTCCTCAAAGGTACCGGTTACACGAGGAATATTGTCGGAAAAGGATTGAATGTCTTGAAAAGGTACTTAAAACATAAAAAACAAAAAAAAAACAAAACAAAACAAAACAAAACAAGAAAAAACATGAAACAACGCCTACTACATTTACGAAACAAATATGACAAAATATTTTTTGTATCGACTTACTGCCAATTGTGTTTTTCGAAAATATTGAACTCGACAATAGAGCGCCCAAACAACTGCGTCGAAAGAATGGACTCACGTCTATAGCTATTCGTATATTGAGATATATACTTTGGTATAGATGTTGGAGTTGCTCTCCAAACTTGAAGACTGCACGCTGACGAATTAAACCAATACAGAAATGATTCATTTCGTATTATTTTTTAATGACTTCCTGAGGAAAGCGTTGCGATGTTGCAGGACGGTTGACCAATAATACGATCATTTCTATTGTGTGGCTCACGGAGAAAGATATTTGCCGTCCCACGCTCCTTTCTAAGCTGTTTCTTATAGCCAACATGGTTTCAAGACAAATAAAAGTGAACCTCCGAACTAGACAAAACAAATCATGCGGCCGCTTGCCTTGATATTTGGAAGTTATCTAAAAATACTCATGGCCAATAACTACTGGGCTATTCTCAATATTCTCACGTGTATCGAGCTTGTGGGAAGCATAAGCACTGTTAACGTCCTTACGAATATAAAAAATTGATATGAACACTTGTAAAACGATTCCCCAGGCCTTTTACAACAGTAATTCCCAGAATGTTCTGAATTAAAGTTCCAATAAAAGTCTCTTCAACTTTTAACTCTGCAGTATTTCACACTACAGCAGCATTAAGGTCGGAGCAAGAAGTCTCCTCGTATCATGTCTGTATCTTCAAGTTCGACTTTGATGCTTAGTGTGGTTTTAATAGTCATGTTTCAAATGATAGATGGCACATGCAAGACCCGAGAATCTGGAATAGGTAAGTATGATTCCATTCACTGGCATATTCTTGTAATCGTTGGGATGGTAAATTTGACGCTCATTCTCTCAAGACGCTCACCAACAATTTGGTAATGTACGGAATGTTTTCATTTATTTAATTTTTTTTCTTTTTTGAGTCAGAGCTGATCTTTAATAACTTTTTTTTTTCCGAGAACTAGACTTCTAATCGATACTGGGCGTATCTAATTGTAAAAACTGTCATAAAACAGATGCCGATTCCTTTAGAATATGAAATCCCAATCCTCATGAGTTGAAGTGATGATTTTTCCTTCGATGTCTTTTCCTTACTCGTTCTCTTTTCCTTCTTCTCTCTTTCCTCACAGGGGATGGCAGAATGCATGTGCATCTTAGAACGAAGAACTTCCTTCCGGCTTAATATATAAATTATTTTTATTTTTCAGCTAAGAACTGTGCTGAGCTTTACAAGTGCGGTCAAACCATCAGTGATGTTTATACAATCGACCCTGATGGTTCAGGTGCCTTTAATGTCTATTGTGACCAGACAACAGCCGACGGAGGATGGACAGTGATCCAGAAGAGGGTGGATGGCACCGTGGATTTCAATCGCACCTGGAATGATTATAAAAAGGGATTCGGTAATTTTCTTATTCGTGAATTTTGGCTCGGACTGGACAAGATCCAACGCCTGACCCAAAACAAGAGAGAAAACAAACTCCGCGTGGATCTGGGAGTAACTGACGACAAAACTGTCTACGCAGAGTATGAATGGTTTGGTATTGAGAACGAGACAGCTGATTACAAGCTGCACATCGGCAAGTTTTCATGTAAGTCAATTTACTCCTTCCCAATCAATGAACATTGTCATAAATGATAGTTACTATCACCTCCCTTACACAGGGTAGATCTCAAAGCAGTCTCCTAAACAATTGTTTGCCTTGAGGATATCAGTGTGATTCACATCTGGTTATGCATATCACACTCATGAGACTAACCCTGAACAACTCATTTACTTGAGAGTTGCCTGTGATTTGGTGGCATAGAATCAATCAGGTGACACGAGGACCTGGAATGTATAGGAAACTAGTTATTAGAGTTGATTCAGTAACTTTGATGCTCTAGAATTCAAAATTGTTTTCTGAAATGTCGTCTCTACAAGTAGCAGAGTCGCATCGTTTTATACACACTACAAGGGGCCAGAGCTATGCTCTCAAGAATTACGATTAATTACTATCCATGAATTTAAAATATATTGAGTTTTTTCCTCTTTCTTTTTTCTTTTTTTTTTTGTGTTTAGCTGCAACCGTTAAGGATTCCCTATCCATTCATAATGGCATGTTATTCGGTACCTGGGACAGACTTCCAGCTGACCGTGATTGTGCACTGAGATTAGGAGGAGGCTGGTGGTACCTGTACTTTGATAAATATTGTACTGTTTCCTCAAATCTCAACGGGATCTATCCTCATCGTGGAAGTAATTCTCGAATTCACTGGGCAAATTTAAACAGTGAAGCTAAAAACAACAATCCCAGATCAGCTGAAATGAAAATCAGACCAGTGGACTTTTTTTAAAACCTTCTTCCTGAAGGACTTTTTCTTGCTTTTTTTTTTTTTTTTTCGTGGGCGAGTGGAGGGGAAGGATTTTGTTTGTGTCAGGATTATTTTTTTTCAGATTCCCTTATAAGGCTCTGTAATCGCATAGTGCTGTGAAGGGAAAGTCAAATTTAAAATTTGGTATAGTTATCTAAGATTTATCAGGGATCGTGATTATTTTAAGAAGTCTTGATGAAAACAAAACGCAAATTTCTTTTTTTGTAGCAAGTCTGTACCAGTACTGACTACACCTGACCCTGCCGTCAGTCAGTTAGATCCAAAAGTAAATTCCTAGAGGCATTAATTGTAATTAGGTTAAGTCGACTTCACATACGCTAAATCAGATTGATTTTGAGGTCAATTGTTAACGTTATGTGAAAACGTTGAGATAATTATGTGCAGTAAATAAATGAAATCATAAAAACCATCTTTATGTATATCATCGCCAACTATTCCGGTCACGAGCCTGAGGTAGGGAGGCGGCTTCATAACAAAATGTATGTAAACATCGCTGCCGATTTTATAGAAAAAAGTATGGAAGGCACGTAAAAATTGTAAATATTCGCAATCATGAAATATTTTTTCAATTTTCCGGATTGGGGTATTGATACTACAAGTAAAAGCAATCTGTTAAAAAATAAACAACAATAAAACGAGTGTGGTAAACCCTCCCTTTCACTATCTCTCGAAAACGAAGGTATATTCCATACAAACCTCATAATTTAGGTGGCGAAAACGCGTGAATCCTAAGCACCGGCATGGCATAAATCATTTCCAGAGCTAGGTGCTGCATTTGCCGGACTGGACCTCTGTAGTAGACCCTCTCCAAGTTCAAAATTTAACTTTTGAGGCTCAGAACGATTTTTAAGCCCCTTCACTTTTTGGCCGCAAAACAGTAGAAAATTAAAAAGGTGAAGTCCACGATAAAACTGCAAAATCCCCTGTTTCGAATGACAATATTCTGACTGTCTTTTGTCCAAATTTCTTGAAAAAACCCTCGTTTGAAAGCTAATTTTGTGGACTACGTTTCTCGAAGCAAGTTATTTTCTTCAGCTGCTTTCGTATGTGTTAAAATCGTGGTTATATTAAAAATATCTTCTGTACCTCACTTCGCGGCGATATGAACCCGTTGATACAAGAGGAAGAACAGCGGTAAGAGGGGCGTCACGTAAGGCGCGCTGAAGTGTCGTGACCGAAATAGTTGGCGATGAAATGATGATTGTGGTAAAAGTTAGCAATATCACTCAAGTCTCAAGAACTATGCAAAGCTCCTGACCGCTTCTTGGGTTTGTAAAGCTTTCTCGAAATTTGCAGGCTCTCATCGTGTTTAATTGAGGCTATGTTAACATGGTAAAAGTCCGCCATTGCTTAAATATGTATTTAAATGTTGTTAATTTTGATTCATCGTAAGCCTTTCATAGATTAAGTCGAAAGCAAACCTGAACAACTGCAGATGATGGTTTAACATTCAAATGAAAGTATATTTGAAATGTACACAGATGTGTCGCCTAATTTTGTAGAATGGAAAAGAGAAGGGTCGTGATCGAAGTCACTCTCCCGAAGGATCAATCGTTTGGTTGGAAATTTGCACTATTTTTCTGTTAGGTTTTTTCATGTTTGGATGAAGTTGCGTAAACACGGAAAGATCCTCCATTGCTTAAATTAATGTTATTGTTGGTCCGTGAAACAAACCAGAACTACTGTGGATAGATGGACACGCTCGATGGTCTGTGCTAAACACAAATATGATCACGAAATTTGCAGAAGTAGAGATGTCGTGATCAACAGACATCGTTGAAGAAAATTTGTTAAGGTAAGCGCACATGAGGACACTAGTCCCTGTAACGAGTCACAGGACAAGTCCGATCGTGTGAACTAGCCATTTTTGCCACAAAATCTAGTCGCACGGACTAAAATTTGGTCCTTGCGACTAGTCCCACCTATGCAAACTGGTTTGAATTTTTGGGACAAGTCCCTGCAAATTGTTTCTCAAAACGCTTGGTGGTAACCAAATTTCACTGAACAATCCACAGTTTGTGCTATTTTTTCTGAAAGCAAGAAAAATTAGTATGATCTCCCACGGCACATAAACTGAGACGTCAAATCACGGTATTATATTATGAACCACACATGAAACAATTTACAATGGAAAGTTATGAGTCAAATCTCTAAGTTCTACAGTTAATTGTTTGAGCCAAAGTGTAACATCTGAGCTTGTGGTCTAGTCATCAGAGCGAGAGTAGTCCTAAGAGGGAATGTTTTGATTTTGACGATGACTTCCGCTCAGGTTGTAAAAAACGTCAGTCGATACTACCGACAGCAGTCCTTCTCAGGACTATTATCACCTAGAAGATCAGTGGATAACATAAAATGTTTAACTTTATCGTTAAGAGGTGCCCCAGGGGGAAATACATGCACTGTTTATCTGTAGTGTTTATTCCAAAGAGAAGATAAGCAAACCGGTTTTTACATGCGTACCACGTATCGTATGTTTTCTGAGTCTTAAAAGTGATCGAGAGGGTATTAGTATTTGCGATATCAAAGCAGTTTTATAACATAACCCAAGTAAATAGCGAGCTCTGATTGGTCAATTCAACGTCCACCATTTGCCCATGGGTGTAAGCTGCTGACGTGAGCAAATGCATAGACTAGTTTTCCACGCGCGCTTTTTTTTTTTTTTTTTCTGGTCACGTAAGATTTGTTAAATAAAAGAAAACTCTTTTGCAACAATGTACCAATTTTATGTTTTTTTTACAGATGATAAACGCCACAGTGTACACTATTGAGTTATAGATGCACTTTGGAGGTTTGCCAATCACTCAAGAAGCTAGAGTCGCTCTTGGCTATTGCCTCGCGCGACTCTTGCGCTTCTTTCGTGCTTAGCAACCGCCCGCGTCCGCGTGCATCCATGGCTCAATAAGAGTGGGATGTAATTTGATTTATTAATTTGTATCATTCTTTGTTATGCTCCCAATCGAAGTTTTCATCCTTTATACTGCTCATTAGTCCTTTGTATAACTTAGTAAAGTTATTCCTACGTGTTCAGGAAAACTTTTAGTTCAGGTTATTTTTCATCGAAATATAATATCAAGCGTCTAAAGTACACGTAAACGCCGTAGAATCCCTAACGCCGAGTAAAGGTAAAGGTAACTTTTTTACATTTTTTAATGCAATCGAGAGTTTGTTTTGAAGGTTTACCATAGTTTCTTTATTGTGTTATAATCATAGCTTTTAGAGGAGGCGGCGTGGCCGAGTGGTCAGGGTGCTGCTTTTGCAATCCGATGTCTCGGGTTCAAATCCTCGACCCTGCCACTCACCGAATTTGTTCTCGGTTTCCCCCAGTTCAGCTCCTCGGCTGTGCTCTGTAAATAGTCCACTGGTCTGCTTCCTGCCAGCGGGGACTTTTAAGCACTTAGTTAGTTTATATTGTGGCTGAAAAGCCCCTCAAGGGGAGCTTCAATTTACGTATTTCATTTTCATTTAATTGTTTTTCATTTCTTTTGGTTGTATTTACTTCTTAGTTTTCGAAACCACTTTATACTGTTTTGTAAATCGTTTACTCTGCTTCGCTATGCATCATTTTATCTCCAAGTCCTGCTTAACGTCCCATGGCTTCGCTTCAATAAACTTTGGTTACATTTTTATCNAGACCCCATAAAACATGTCATTACAGTCGAACCCCGCCATGTCGAACTCGGTGAAATTCAGACAGATGATAGATAGACTGGTTTATTAAATTCACATAACAGTAAAATACTGAATTGCGCAGGTTTTACAAGCTACTACTATACAAATATAAAATATGATGACTTAAAGTTCTATTAAAAGTTCTATTACATCTCAACTTGGGTTGGTTTCAGCCACGAAAAACGAATTAGCAAAACGCTTTGTCTTGGCTGCTGGTACATTGTACGTTCTTTGGCGCCGGGGGCCGTCTAGTCAGATTTTTGCGAATTTTTGGTCATCCAACAACTTTTTGGTTTTTGCTTTAATCGATGGTTTAACCTATCTACTTTAAGGTTTTGAAATCTTTTTAAATTAATTTTATCAGTAAAAGCTTGAAAAACGCAATTTCCGCAACAAAAAACTGTGTCCACCAGTGTTGATCGGTTGCCATGGAAACCGAATTGAAAATCCACGCTTTTCCTCGAGATTTCTCGATTCAACGCTCTCCGAATTCCGTTTCCAGGGGTCCCTATCCGATTCCTGAATTTAAACTAACATCATAGGGCCTGGATCCTCAGTAAACGCTCCACGCAGACGATCTGACCACATTCAAATTACTTCAGCTTGGTTACCATCGAATAATCATGCCTAAAGGGAATATATCTGGTGTAAAACAACGAGTTATAAAGAAAAGTTTTAGTGGTAAGAAAAGAAAGGCTTTCAAAGGTATCCCAAAGCACAGAGAGATCGCGGAAAATGCATCGAAGAGACCAGATTGGAGATCACGTTTGTTGGTGAGGATGACGTGGTAAGCGAGCAAATTCCGGAGCCTCGTGCCTCTGTTTCTTCGAGAAAGCTACAGAAAAGTGACAATGAAAGTGGATCTGATGAGGATATTTCTCATGAAATGCCAGTGGCCAAGCTAAGGGGTATCGGCTTGTGCACATGGAAAGTCTTATTACATCATAACAAAATATGCTGACTAAAGGTTCTAGAAAATTCTATTAAAAGTTCTCAATGAGTCAGCATGACCAAGCGTTCCAGAAACTTCATCAGTTCTATTTTTAGCAATTCCGTAACGCAATGCACTCTCCATAACAGTAGCCTCTGGGGAAGAGCTAGTATAAATATGAAGCTGTTGATACAAAACTTCTCCTTTCATTCACAACACTGAAAAAATATCGGGATCCAAACGATCCATTAAGATCACTGATCACTTCACGTGCACCTCAGCCAAACATCATCTATTGCATAACTTGCAATTATTGCAAAAAAGCTCTACATCGGCGAAACAGGAAGACGACTATGTGACAGATTCCGAGAACACCTTCGCGACATAGAAAGGAATGACAAGGACGCATGAAAATCAGTCGCTAGATACCTTAATCTACCTAATGATTCTAAGCAACATATGGCAATCTGCGGTCTTTCTTTACATTTAGGTAGCTCGGAAAGCCGCAAAACTCTCGAACAAAAGTTTATCTTCCAAATCGGCACTCTTCATCCCACAGGTATCAACGAACGCTTTTCATTCCAATGATTTATTCGTGTTTTTCTCGTCATCATACCCCCACCAATAGCGTAGCTTCACTTTCTGCATATAAACCCACACACAACCCACAATTCCTCCATTCGCTCTGACGAAGGCCTAACGCCCGAAACGTCAGCTTTTTTGCTCTTTACGGTGGCCCGTTTACAATTTCAACGAGGGGTACATTGGGGTTTTCGGTTTTGCGGTTTGGGCTATTTTTTTTTAGATCGGTTTTT